GCCGCTGGCGCAGCTCGTCTTCCTCGTCATCCCATGCGGAAAAAGGAGTGTCAGACTCGTAGTCGACCACCTCCTCATCCTCAACGAGGTCACTTGTCACTGATAGCGTGCGCTGAGCGCGACGATTGTGCCCATCGAGCCTAGGATGTGCATCCCTCGGTGCTGCGGACGCACTGTCCGACGTTGCACCGCGTGCTGGTGAAGAAGTCGGACTCTGTTCGTGCTCGCTGTCAGAACCAGAGAGACTTGGAGACTTTGGTGTCATTGACACAGGGCACAGTGAGCACGAAAGTCGTTTCGTTCCAACACCGTGTCTTAAAGACACGCAAGTCTTGTTGATGCAGTAATCGATTAGAACTGTAAATGTTCTCAGCCTTTATGGGGGAGAGTGTAACGGGGTTACCATACCCTGGTAACAGGGGTGTGTGTCACACCAGATGGGCATGGTGTAATCACCCCCAAATAAGAATACGGTACAGTGCTAGATAGCCAGTAGTTATACATGTATTTAGATTTTACTATATATATCTAGGAAAATCTATACTTTTATAATTAGGCGGTTTAGCTGCAGATAAAAATAAATGAAAATTTTAAATCGAAGAGTCAATTAGTCTTGGGAAGGCAATAATTACTTTTGGAGTAAGCGCATTGCGACCCGGCAAACTGTACTTGTTCTAAGTATAGAACGAAAGGTCGGTGACCTAACTTACGCTTCCTCTAAGCACAAAGCTACGGCAGCCCCGCTGCATGTATTCTGATGAAGCTTGGCGAGTCAAGAACCCATAAAATGGGATTGGTCCCATTACCCATTTTTTGTGGACCGCATACTCTTAGTGTCTAACATCCACTGTACACCCTGTATAGTTGTATATCCGCTTTCTGTTCTGTTGTATCAGAAGTGGAAGTACTTATCAGGTTATAAGTTTTTTTAGCCTGATGAGTTTAATCGTTACTGCCACTCCACATTTCCTGCCCACCACGTAAGCCAACGGCCCGCCGGAAATGATCAACGCGCGGCGACGCGGCCCTCGGTATGCTCCGACTAGACCAAGAAGTGGTTTTCAACGGTTAGCAAATTTTGCTGCGTATAAGCAAGGATTATTACGATTTTTTCGCAGAACATACCGACGCCAGATCTGCACCTCCATTACAAGTGGATCGTCGGTACACATGGAACGTCCCGTGAAAATCAAGGTGACAAAATTTGACGGTAACGAAATGAAATGTTTGTGTTCTAGCAACGAGAAAAACATCGTTATCACGATGGCTCAACTTGGTGATGACCTTAGTCTAGTGGCCTTTGCTATCCCGCATTTGAATGACTGTGCGAAAAATTAGGCGCTGGCTTGAGAAGCCAATAGCCCTGGCTACTTCACCACATGGCAAAAGTTGAAGAAGACCATAAAATCGATTCTCCTTCCACCTAATGTGACTTTTGACAGCGGTCGAGGTTTTGTCATGCTGTCAAGACAACGGCACATTGCACGATGATGTACAGAAGCTCCGAGCTTCATGTCAGTATGGTAAGTGAACCAGTGCCAGAGGCAGTGATGGTTCCGTGTTTACGGAGAAACTCACTCAAGGTCTTTTTAAGACCGAAGGCTTCCGCCAGAGCCAGACACCTTCGGAATATACAATTATTATTGCAATATATGAGGACGACTGTCAGCGTCAAGCATGTGATCCATCACACAACATTTTCCTGGTGATCAATGACGCTGAGCTCGGAACATTCGGCTACAGTCATCCGCGTCGCATTCGACTTTGTTGGACCTACTCTTTAGTCACCATCACACCTTTTAATCTTATTTGAAATTCGCCTTCGTACTAGGCAGAACGTCTCTTACAAGCAGTCCTGAAATCAGCTTTTCATTAATTGCATCAGCAAAATCTACGTCGAGCTTGGGTGGTTGAGTTTCTTAGCCTTTTGACTCGAGATGAAGCTCATTTCGTTGATTTACTGCAGAGTAAGATTTTTTACATACTGCATTGCGTCGATATCAACTTTTTTTTCTAGCCCTGATTTTCGTGAGATTTAAAATTGAAATGTTATATATTTGGACGGTTAGCACCACGTTACAGTGCAAAAATCCCAAGCGTTCTTCAGACTTACAGCAACACTTAGAAATACCATGGTGAGGAATCATGATGAACAGCGCGGGCGCATCTAACGTCGGAAAAGGTAAATTTTGCGGAGAGGGTGGATTACCGGCAGGTTTTATCATCAGTAAGTTAGACATGCATGTAGCACAATTTTAGTGATCCTAAATTCTCAATAGAGCACGTTTAAACTTGAGCAATAGCAATTATTGCAAAGGCTCTCTGTTAGACACCTTATGGGAAACTCAGCCCATCTTCGTATGAGTGAATCCGCTTAGAAGAAACTTTAAAGTGGCTCGGACAAAAGTATAGTTTTAAGTACGACCATACTACACAGCCACTCATGCATATTCATAATAACGTGTCGAATCGGGCTGAACCGTTGGACAGCGGTGATATTCAAAGATACGAAAAATTTCTCATGCGGATCCGGACTTAGCGCTACTAAAGAAATTGGCCAAATTATATTGTTTGAGATATTTTATTTATTCCATGGGCTGCGCTATACTTGCAAGCAGGCATGACGCGTTATCGCGTTCAAGCCTCCCGGCCTTAAAATTGGCAGAGCTTACTAGCTCACGACAAAAACCTTTTGTATTGAAGCATACTATTTTCAAGGCCAGAATACATATAAGCAGGCTGTATTCCATTCAAATTATCCACAACGACTTCGTTATAACATCTCTCACGACAATGGAAAGATTACTATCTTTACTTGGCTCGTATACATTTGAAATAAAGTAGGTTTGGTTCGGCTTATCGGTGGCAAATACGCTTTCGCTTTGCCCCGGATTGAATCGTCGTATAATACGATGGTGACATGCCATTTGGTCGGGCGATTCGCTCAGCGTTTAATCCTGCACAACATGTATTGCACTGCTGAAAGTCTCGAAAAGTATGAAAGGTCTGAGGCCCGGTGTCTCTTGATCAAAGCGTAAGTTTGCGCATTTGCACCACTAATGTCTAGTGAAGGGGTCACGATGTCAAAACATTGACCCACTTGACACTTTCCGTGTACGATCAGGCCCGTAGTCCAGGATAAGGTACAATGCAACGATACTATCTCCAGTGGCCGCCTCGGTGGAAAAGACAAACCACTTAGTAAGCGCTATATTCTATTGTTACACGTGTAACATTGTGTATAACTCATTCATAATCGTAATTTTTTGCGACACGCGTCGGCATTTTTGTAAGTCGGCAGGTTCTGGTAGAATGTTGGCAGTCTTTTAGCTTGATTTTTTTAACTTTCATCCGGTAATACCAGCATTGTATTTTTTTGACTGGCTATGCAAAATATTTCGCTGCTGTCAGCGACTGATTTTTTTATCCGAAAGGATTCAGCCTAATCACAAAATATTCCGTCGGTGGTAATTGCATCAGATCGACATCCGCGCTTCAAAGTGAAATTTCGATTTTTTAGTGTTCAAGGCCCAAATGGAGCATGTCTACCGCTAATCACCCGAAAGCCCGTGCTCTCACAGAACGCGTTAACTGTGTGGAAATTATTTGTACTGCTTAGAAAGACTGCTCTTCAGGAGCAAAGTGCCTCCAATTATTGTATTTATGGTAAGTAGACGTCCTTTCAACTCTGGTTGTCATCAATGGCCTGATGTGCCCTTCGCTCCTCTGCGATTTAGCTTAATCTCGTTTGAGTAGACTGATTTTGATTTGATTTGCTGCTATCAGCCCTTGCAGTTTGTGCGCTTCTAAGAAGCTCCAATGATTATATTTTGACGGAATTGAGCGGGATGTCATGCTTACGCGGGTTGTGCAAAAGCAACGTACGATTACTCGGGACAGCGGAACGTTTATGGAACTAAAGTGATAGTGAATGATATTATACGCTTTTACCGTACCAACTACACATACATTATTTGTACGCTACATGACTAAGTTGTGACGATGCTTCATCGGTTGCTTATGTCCTCAAGGTAAAAACGATGGCGGCATACTCTTAATATCTCGGAGCAACTGCTAGATATTCCATGTTCTTAGTGGGCATGCAAAAGCCATATTACGACCCTGGACTGCTGAACCAAACAGGTCTAAGAAACTCTATCGAAGGAGTAGGTCTCGATTTAAATATTGACTGTAAATATCTACTTTGAACAGCGATACGGTAATAATTCGCTGGAGGTTCAAGTTATTCTGTACAATGGCGTACCTCGAAGTGCTTATCTGAAATCAGAATCAACTCTGTATCGATCGTACGTCAATACGCTCGGAAAGGATCTACGTGCCCTAATAAACAATGAACCTCCCAGCGCCAGCCGCAGGTGAATTGTCCTTCGGCTGCACGCTTTGGTGAGTAGGGGATAGTTCACTTCCACTTCAAGGGAATAGTGGATTAGCGGGCCCGTAATCTCTGCACTAGTTTCTGGTCAAATGAAACTCAATACCCTTTCTTTAGAAACATATTGATTGCGCGAAGTCAAGCTCCTGCAAAACTCTGGTGCCATTGCCTACTATAACTTGTTGCACCATCATCTGTCAACACTCGAGTAAGGAGACAGGTTTGCGCAGCACAGCGCGCTTTCTAATACTCGATGTTGTTTCATACTGAAGATTTATCGTAGCATAGCCAGCAGGCTTATGAAGACGAGCTGGCTTGTTTACATCAAAGGCTTGATGTGACGAGTATCCACTTCGACGTTCTGGTCGTGCTTTGTATTAGCAAAGTCAAGCAAACAGCGATGCTTCATACTTAATGAAGCTGGTTAGGATAGCTGTCAGATTGTTAATACAGTGCCTTCTCTACCCAGTGTACAATTAAACGTAGTGCTCCAAGAGTAACCACAATCCTCAACCAAGGCAAATAAAATCTTATGTCCAACATGTAAACTGTATTTTTTTAAATTTGCGGCAATATAAACCTATAGATTTTCCCTATTAAAATAGTAAAGCCTTATCAAAATGCATCACTGCTGGCAGTCCAGCCTTTTCTGGCCTCTTGTTAAGGTTTAGCCACACCATTCTGTGATCGCACCATCTTGTGTGACCCACCCTTTCATATCAGGGTACGTGTAACCGCGTTACAAGCAATGCGTTGCAAACACCCGCGATCTCGTCGCAGATCTTCCAGCGTTGCCAATGACTTTTCTACGAATATGCTGCACGTTAATGCCTATTTTTGCGCGCGGCTTCCTAGCTTGAGAGCCGCATAATAATGCGATATTGGTCCGTTTACAGCTTGGAGAATTAATGTCTGTAACGGGGTTACACATACCCTGGTAACAGCGGTGTGTGTCACACCAGATGGGCATGGTGTGACCACACCCAAACAAGAATACGGTACGAGGCTGGAAAGCCAGTAGTTCTATATGTATTTAGATTTTATCATAAATATTTAGAAAAACCTATGCATTTAAAATTAGGCGGCTTTGCCGCAGATAAAAACAAATAAAGCTAGTTTTGGGTTTAAATGAAAGAATTAATCAGCCTTGGGTTAAGGCAATAATTACTCTTGGGTTAGCGGATTGCGATCCACTAAAGTCGTACTTGTTCTAAGTATAGAACGAAATGTCGGTGACCTGACCTACGCTTCCTCAAAGCGCAATGCGACGGCAGCCTTGCAGCAATGTCCATCTCAACTTGCTCCGTTCTTAGGGAGAGAACCTGGTCAAAGAACGTAACTCTCGACATTCGTGACCTCACATTCGGTGTAATCTGTATCTTCATTATCTTTTGGTTGGGGCGCTCCTGGGGGGTTCCTTTCAGCGCAATTTCATAGCTAGTGAGCGCCTCCAGCGAGAAATTACATTTCTGGGCCCTCTGCTAAATCTCTGATCCCGTCAGGACTAACAATGAGCATAGACTTGCTAAGCATATCTACTTGGTATGGGGACAGGTACACGAACATTATTGTTTCATTCTCACAGAGGATGCATTGACTAGTCTTTGAATCAGCTGGAGAAACTACCAAGTGCAACAGGGTTGCCGTGCACCTTGGACAAAGTAAGCTTTGGGTCGAAGAGTTCTTGACCAGAGATGGAGTCTTGAAATTTACTCTGGATCGATAATGTTAGATAGCTCAGTCTTTAGTTTGCTCTGCTATTTCAAGGTGATGTATATATTGGTTTGATTTTGCTCAGACTGCTATTACTCAAGTTGTACCATACCTAGAATAAAATTGACGTGATAACTTGATGTACTGCTAGCAACCACGTTTATCGTATCCATACAAGTTGCATTGTGAATTTCATACAGTTGTACAATGATACAACAGTCGAATGCCACATTAGCTTTAACTAAATGTTTTTGCTGCGAACGTTTTGGCTAGAATCAAGGAGAAAGTGCTGTTTTGAAGAATGTGCAGAAGAGGAAGCTTTGACTTACATACTCAACAAACGCAGATAATGGTACTTTTGCCGTTTTAAGAAACGAATCGTAGATCTCTAAGTTACGTACTGCGAATTCATTCGTTCCACCACACACACAACTTTGGGGTATTTAATAATTAATTAGAAATTAGGCATAACTATCTTACACTTAGGAAAACCTAAGATTTTAAATATTACACTACTGCAGCTCTTGAGATTCAGCGGCGCTCACTCAATCTTACCGTAAGCCTTATGAATTGCATTGCCTGGCCCACGAAGCTTTCCTGTTCGAGGCACCATCATTCTCTTTTCTCATGTTTTTCTGAGCTTTGCTCTTAACAAAAGTGTGATGTGAACACACACCATAACGGGAATGTGCTGTAAGAAATACTTCATTAAAATTGGACGAATGCTATATGTTGCCCATGTCTTTTTCGATAACAGATCAAACAATTTCGCGCGAGTAGACACTCACAATCGGACACCAATGCAATCAGTGAAGTGATTCGGCCCAACAACAGAGAAGCAAATCGAGAGGTTTCTTGTGTACATTTCTCCGAATTAGCATGTTCGCTTTACAAGTGCATCAAGGGAAAGAGATTAAGTGAGACCATCAAGCGTTCGGATCATCAGTTGACGTTCCTTAAAAATCTGAAGCATTGTTTTTTGTTGCCATCTGTTTGAGACTCCCAGTCTCTGGCAAATCCTCTGGTATCCATCGTCAATTTTTTTTAGAGATTGCATTGAGCCTTGCCTTTACTGATCTAAAGTTGAGCAGTGACCATGCGAAAATCAAACTCAATAACTTGCATCATGAGCTTTTCGAATTATAACGACATCTTGGTTCTCAATTTCGGGACACCAGGCTTTTGGCAAGTACTCGTTTTGTACAAGCCCCATTTGAGATTACGTTGCAGACAAGTACTTATGATGTATAATATGCAGCCAAACGAATAAGCCAACCAACCGTACAGTGTACTGGCAGCCGATCTGCAACATCACCTGTTGCGGAGAATCTTTCTCCCGGCCTACTGCTCAAATACTCAAACACAAGCGCACAAGACGCTTAGTTTCACAATATTCAGCACTCCATGACATCTGTGCCTTCAAGTAAAGCACTTGTTTACAGGTATCTAGAAGACGACCAGATTAGCTAATTGTGTACAATCTGGATGTGTCATTAAGATTCTTCCTTTAAGACTTCATCATTATGCCGATATATGACGTAGAACATCTATATCTAGACGAGTTTTGTTGAAGAAAGCAAATCATGTGTTTTTTTACTAATCTCTTCAATGGTTTCGCAGTTCGACCATAGAGACCTGCCAATAATAACTTTCATATATCAAATTGTCCTAATTTGCCGAAATGAATTTCAACACGATTATACATGAGTATAGTATATCTTAAATCTATACTTTGTAGATCAGTATCCTACCGGTACATGCTTTGTTAGGTTTAAGCTAGTACGTATGTTGTTAGCAATACGTCGCCTTCATGTTTTATACCAGCTGTAAGCCTCAAGCTGTAGTAATTTCTCCTTACGACGTACTGTAGAGCTCCAGGCGCTATTTCCGGAAGCCAGTCACAAAGTCATACCCCCCACCCTTGCACTCGCTGTTGTAGGCCTAAGGCATTTCCTGTGTTGGTTTGAGGAAGGACGATATTAGACCCACTTGTGTCTAATAGTCGGATCCTCAACCTCGTCGCCTTCAAACCTACGAAATGAGTTTCCGACCTTCTGACGCGTCTTTCAATTCGACAGCATTAATTGTTGGTCTTGTTGTTACAGCAATGGTGCTGCTTGCACTTGGAGGATGGTTTATGTGTAGACGTCACAAACGAATTAATGGACATCGCGATAGCCACAGTCAGAGTACCGAGTATATGGATTTCATGCTAACACCTGATCTAATGGCAATTGTAGCTGATGGTAGTCGTCGACGACCGTCTAGCTCCGCAACTTTTAGCGGCAAGTGGTTGAATCATTTGCCACGGATCGCTAGTGTACCATCCATCGAGTTTTTTGAAAATCTCAGCTTCAGAGTAGGACGGACTTCTAGTAATGCTGCCACGACAAGAGCCACGTCGTTATCACCTCGAGCTCTGAAGAAATGTGACTCAAGTGACACGTTGGCATGCAATGCATTGGCACTTGAACAGAATCGTCTCCCACCGCACTGTGTTGTTGATGGCGAGTTACTACATAAAGGGTCTTTTACCTTGGCTATTCGTGCTACGCTTAAGATTGAAGGTCAAGCGAACCGTCAAGTGGTTGTCCGACGACTGCTTCCAGAGCTTGCAGAGCAGCAGTCGTATCGTCAGGCCTTTTTGGAAGATATCTCACTTTCTATTACACTATTACATCCTCAAATTGTAGCTTTTATTGGATTCTACGACTCTGCACAGCGTGTTTACGATCTTGATTCGCCAACTTCACCGTCTCATTTGGTGGAAGCAGCAGCTCAACCTTCAGCAGTGACGGAATATATGCCGAATGGTAATCTACGAGCGCTACTCTCACTACGACCACGCAACGCACAAGAATTTGGATGGTTTCACTCTATCTCCATGCCGAAGACGAAAGCACATCTTGCGCTCGATATCGTTGATGCACTTGTGTATTTGCACTCTCGATCTGCTGACGTCAATACGTCGCTCCACCCTCCGCAACTTAAGGCACAACGCGTACTATTATCTGAGCATTGTGATGCAAAACTTTGCGCTTTTGGAGTTAATCGCACAGTGGGAGTCCAGGCCATGTACACTCAAAGCGACTTTTCCGTTGCTTGGTTAGCGCCTGAGTTGCTACGAGGTGAACGTCGAAGTGAACAAGCTGATGTCTATTCGCTTGGTGTTTTACTTACTGAACTTGACACCTGTGAGCTTCCATTCGCTGCTGGAGTTGACTTGGATAATGATTTGGACGAACAAAGTCAATTGGCTCTACTCATTAGCTCTGGTTGCGTTCGTCCCGCTTTGTCAATGGATTGTCCCGTTCAGATTCAGGATCTCGTCATGCGTTGTTTAAGCTTCTCACCTCTACAACGTCCACCTGCAATCGAAGTACAACACACGCTACGAAAGCTTATAAACGGTACAAGTATTTGCGATGCATCGTTTGCCTCCCTTTCATCCAACGTATCATCACTTCAAAGTACACCTAGGGCCGTTACTGCAACCCTCTTGACGCCGTGATGAAACATACGACAAGAAGCGTATAAGAAATATGCTCATCTACTTCACTAACCACTTGAACGGCTGTGCAGCAATACTTCGCATTGGAAATCATTTCCATCCAGCGATCGGCATTTCACCATGAGCGGCATATGTGCTTGGTCGAGTAAAAACATTATGTCGATTTCGATAGACGATAACGATGACTCAGCGCGTTGAGTGGCAGCGACAGTTGCTCGCCAAACACAATGTTATCAAGGTGTATAAAGTCATAGCTGTCAAGCACGAGATTCCGGACTCAGAGTACGCAGATACCTTTTTTACACAGTTGATGTTGCTGAAACAAGGGCCTGAATGTGGCTGTTTAGATGTAAGGGACAAAGACAAGAGACGACCGGCTCAAGCAGTAGACATGAGCTTAATTGCGATGTAACATCCACAAAATGCCATACGGAATGCCAGATCCTTCAACATCAAATGAAGACACATATATGCGTTACGCTTAGTCATTCACACTCTGTCAGACCCTTCAAGCTGCTAGCGGAATGCGAAAGCACGGAGCAGAGCTAACATAAATGCAACTGACAGTGGCGTGGTCTTCACAATTTTGTTGAGTGAGCTCTAGTTTACAAGGTCGAACGAGCCAAGTGGTTGTCGTAAAACCAGCAATCTGGACCTTTAAATGTGGTTGTAAACGATGGAAGCTTTATCACACAGCTATCAATTCATTTCAATGATGCGCGTGGCATGTTTGCAAGTATTTAGTACATTGAACGCCGTAACGTGTACTTTGTTCAATGCACGCGAGAAATGCTGATAAAAAGGAGAATGACTAACTTCGTGCTTCGGTAAATCGTTTGTCAGACAGATGTAACATCGAAATACTCATAAATTCTTTTTTTTTCTGGAAGCTAATCAATAGAGGTCTCAGGATGGGAGTACCCACAGCACAGTCGGATGCTTTTAACCTTTTGTGCAGACTCTTGAGCCAGATCAAGCATCCCAGCTTGCATTGCAGCCATATAGATTTGAAAATGAAGCGTTTCTGTAGTATGATAACACTCAGGAAGACCACAACGCGTCCAAATTTTTAACAATCTCTCTGCAGCATTAATGACATTAACCCAGAGGCATTGAGTACGAGCTAACTGCATTTCTGCAGTAAAGAATGCAAATTGAGCTTCAATACTATGTTTAAGCACATGTTCGTAATTCTTTTTCCAATAAAGAAGCTGCTGCTTCTTATCGCAGCAGTCGGAACTGAAGACTTGCATCAGCTGTTCCATCGCTCGACTCTCCTCTTCGTCCGTATCATCTTCTATCGAGCATGCACGTTCATTTGTACAGCGCCCGCAATTACACTCAAATCCAAACCCATTTAACAGTAACGATTGGCGTTTCTTTCTTGATTGCAATAAATCAATGTACGCATACTCCACAGCAGTGCCTTGTGGTATCTCCAAGATAGCGTGAAATGCCAGAGTCCTAGTGTGTGGATCAAAGCTAGGAGCCACATTAGGCATGCACGAATGATTTAAAGCCATTGCTGCTTCAGGAAAGATACCTGTGCCTACACACGTGATGCCATCAAGATAAAGCGGATGCGCATTGCACTTCACACGCTCAAGCGTAGCTCGCACATGTTGCGAGTCCAAGCCTTGCTTTGTCCATTGAACGATAAATTTTACAATAATATTCATTTCCTCCTGCTCACTGTCTTTGGTGCGCTGATGAACAGCGAGCAATCGAAGGGCTTGAGGATTTCTAACAGCCTGTTCCATACTTAACACGGCCAGCACCAATCGCACAGTCTCCACATCCTTCACCGGCACTTGTCCATGCTTTAACTCACGCAATGCTTGACATTGGAAGTCGTGCAGCGTCGCATCTGTGTCCAAGCAAGTGCGAGAGCAATACCGTGCAAACTCGCACGCACCACATTGTAGCGCCTTTTTTCGCAGCTTCTTAAAGCACCAATGACACCGTTTTAGTACCATATTTTGTCGTACAAGCGCAGCGAAAGCTATCGCTTGAAATGCACGCTCTCCTTTATGTATGAACACTTTAGCGGTGGTAAATCGGCCAACTGAGCCGCGGATAGAGCTCCAAAGCGCCACATGAGGATTATCGTCTTCGAAACTTGAGTCGTACGGGCTACGACCTAGTGCTTTGCTGGCATTTGGCAGTGCAGGTTGGACTATGCAAACGTGATCTTGCGGAATCCACTGAGAGTGATTGTTTGCAACCTTTAGCTGAGCGGTAGAAGAAGCTGAGAGAGATGTGCACTTCCATACAACATAACTCAGGCCTGCTTCAGAATTAGTGCGTAAAAGTTGCGCGTGTAGAACTAGAGAAGAAGATGAGGAGAGTGAACCAGTGTCAGATTGCTTAGATTGTGCACGACAGCACAAAGGTAACGAGATGCTTGTTACCAGCACGTAAATGTTGGTGAGATCATTGGTCATCACTTTGTTGAGATACAAATAATTTGATTTCTCGTTTGAGATTTACATTACTCGAGATAAAAAGGAAATTAAAAAATCTACCAGATAAACAGAAGAATAAATCAATAGGCCTCTACATATAAGGCATTCTATTAATAGATGCCTTATATGCCGTATACTGTTCCGAGTTCGTGCCGTTTTTGACAATTTTTTTTATAAAATTATTACAAGATAGGACGATTTTGGAGTCGTCGCAGAGTCCGTGGGCCTACGAAGGAGTCTCTGGTCTTCTCCTGGAATTGTGGCCTTTCATCTTCGTGACAGAGG